AATTTAAAATATTTCTGGCCCGCCTTACTCTTTAAAAAAAAAAGGGACCTAAGGCGGTCCTGCCTTCGAAAGTGCCGGGGCAGGAGGTTTCCGTGGAACTGACCGGCTGACCCTCCCTTCCCAGGCCCGGCTCCTCGGGAGGAAGAGGAGCCTCTCCGTCGGGAATCAAGGGCACTTGCTCCCGAGTAGACCTCGGGACAGGGGCCAGCTCTTCGCCTTTCTTTTTCCAGGAAGCGCTTCGGGCGGTGCAATAAAGCCAGCGAGCCTTTGACGCGTGATTCCCCCCCCCCCAAAAAAAAACTTCGACGGAGAGCCTAGGGAGAAACTTTGCCAATTCCTCCGTATTAATTTATTATTAGGCTTTGCAATATGTCTTTAGCTGCCCTTTTTACGCTGCCTGTATGCACGCAGAACGGTTTCCTTAACCTCCCCCGTTCTTCCTTTTCCACTATTTACATAGTGAACATTTTACTATTAAATAGCCAGTGTTAGCATATGGCTGTATCTTTTGGCGAACACCAACAATATTTATACTGTATTTCCCAGAGCTATTGGATTTACCCTCCACCCATCACTTACATTTTATGCACACATCTGTGCATAAATAGCATGCACAGATGTGTGCATTACCAGGGCATATTTATTTATGTTTCGACATGTATAGGCACTGAAACAGAGGTGCCTTCACACAGCGTTACACATGATGCTGGAACTGGTTTGCATTGGCGTTTTAACTGGCATGTGTGTATCTGTCTAGACCTGGGTGCGATGATTTGGGTTGACATCTGTGTGATCCCTCCAAAGGAAGGGCTACAGACCTCTTGGTATTTACACCTCAGTCCTTAAATACCTGGCTGAAAACCAGCAGTGAGTCAGAACTAGAGTTGGCCCCCTGAATCAATGGGGATTTGGTGAGCCAACTGCTCTGTAAATTCCATGGATTCAATGAGTCTACTCTGGTTGCCACTTACTACAGGACTTCAGCCTATGTGTATCTGTCCAATACCATACATGCGACTTGGAAGCAAGTGGAACTAAACTCTGTGAGGGCAGTGGTTTTTTACTTCCTTATAAGCATGAAGAAGGACCATGGAAAGTTTTTTTTTTTTTCCAAAGGGCATTACTTTGTTAAACCAAAAACAGCAACATTTGTCGTGATACCTTAGAGACTAACAAGTTTTATTGGGCATAATTTTTCAGGGGCTCAAGTTTACCTGATACAATATTTCTCACAAGGTCCATGAGAACTTGTGCCAAATAAATCTTTGTCTCCAAGGTGCCACTAGAGACTCTTTCTTAGGGATGTCTGTCAGTGGACTTACGCAGTCACAGTATCTGAAGACAATTTGGACAGTTCTCAGATAGAAGCATCATTTTATTAATTCTCTAAGGTTTTACAACTCGCCTTGCAGCTGGCACGGCCACAATCTTGTGGCTCCGTCAAGACCATCCAGTTTTCCTCGGGATCATTTTTTGTGATCTGAAATTCAGTTCTTCATACATGTAGCCACCTACATACTAGTTTGAAATTAGGTATCTGAGCTGAGCCTATCGAGTTCCTTCTGTGAGGTTCAGACAAACTCCCCCCACCCCAAAGCAGAGAGGTGGAAAATCAGCAAGTCCCCTTTGTTTTTAATCTTGATTTCCTCCCCAGCTGATTAGTGAAGTGTAATCTTTTTTTAATCATGCAAGCCACCCAGAGTAGACCTTGGTCTAGATGGGCAGGGTAGAAATCCAATAAAATAAAATAAAATAAATAAACAAGCAAGGTAAAAGTCCAGCAGCTTTGATGCCCCCATTTAACCATTAACAAAAGGATATGTGTTGTTCCTCTTCCAGCAGCTGGGAAAAGCAACAATAAAGCATTCAATGTCTTGAACACACTTCCTTGTTGTGGGACATTGTAACAAAAAGTTTCACCTTGTTTGTGTCCTTTCTACTTTCTAATACAAAATATTTGCTTTACTGTTTGCCTCTGACCTTCTAACACTATAGCCCTGAATATTGGCACTCCTGGATGTTGATGTTTTCCAGAGGTGTTTGAAATCAATTCTCATCAGCACCGGCAATCATGGCTAGTAGCTGGGGATAATGGGAAGTGTAGTCTAGCAGTCGGGTGGAGGCGGCACTTAAGTTCTGTGTCAGCACAGTGGGCTTCTCTGTTGAGCTGTGGAAAGCCCATCCTGCAGAGCAGTTTCTCTTTGAGTTTGGTTTATGATTTCAGACTCCAGTATTGGCCGTGACCAGGGCTTGAAAACGTGAGTTGTTTTCCCCACACACACAACTACAGCTCCCGAAATGGCCCAGGAGGCATGCAATCTGGGCATTCTGGGAGTTGTAGTAGAGAACATCAACATTTCTAAGCTCAGCTTGT